ACACACACACACACACACACACACACACACACAGCCTCTTCCCAATATGCGTTTTTGCAATTCACACATGTGCAAAAACGCATAAGAACGCGTATTGTTACGACCCCGGTATGTGTGTGTGCGTGGGTGTGTGCGTGTATGCGTCTGTCCGGATATTTCAACTCGGCATCTAAGCAAGCTCCGGCCCCAAAATTTTGCCGGTGGGTTCCCCGGCAAATTGCCACCCTAGGACAGCCGTACCAACCCTCACGCAAGTCTGGGTCCCGCGTACGAGGGGGTGATAGTTTTGGCGGGAAAATCGCTAACTCAGAAACCAGAAAAGCTGGAAAACTGAGATTTTGAGGTTATGTCCAACTTTTAAATAGGACTGAAGCATTTCAAATTCAGCCTCCAGGTGTGGGTGGTTCCCGCGTCTGGCCCCGTGAGGATTCCTGGCGCGAAAATCGCTAACTGGGGGACCAGGAAAGTTGGGAGGCTGAAATTTCCAGGAGATGTTCCAAGCACGAGTCAACCTAGAATTATCAAATCCAGCCCCTAATTGCTCACGTTCGGCCCCTTGAAAATTTTTGACAGAAAAATGGCTATCTCGGGAACTAGGAGAGCTAAGAGACTGAAATTTTCAGGGGTTACTCCTTCCGCATGTTGAGCTCAAACTTATCGAACTCAGCTCCCAAGCATGCGTGGTTCTCACGTACAGCCCAGTGAAACTTTTTGGTGCGGAAATGGCTAACTCGGGAACCAGGAAAGCCCGGTGGCTGGAATTTTCAGCAAATGTTCCCAGCCCATGTACGATTTTATGAAACTCAGCCCTCCGGGCATGCGTGGTTGCCACGTACGGCCCCGTGAAAATTTTTGACAGGAAAATTGCTAACTCAAGAAGAAAATTTAGAAGGCTGAAACTTCAACGAAACATTCCCTGTTCAAATACTGCGTAGACAATTAACTTCCCGGGCTTCGAGGACCAGTATATCACACGTTTCTAACTACTGGATTTCCGAACGTTCTCATTACAGCACAAAATATTGCAAAAACGTATTATTAGACAGGCCCGCCCGGTGCGCGTCGCCAATGATTTCCCCGTCTGTACACTGTTGAAACTTTTGGGATTTCGAAACTGCTGAATTCCATTGCGGCGGATGATTTTTTCGCTAGCACGGAAATTTGCTGAAGCATTTGTTAGCACGAAAATTTACCAAATTTTTCCCAAGACATCGCGTTACTCTCCTCACCATTTGGCACCCTCTGCGGAATTAGCGTTATTACGGAGACAAGCATGGCATGTCCCTGTAATTTTCTGTAGGACTGCGTTGGAACGAGGATCTAGATGTAGTGGCTCACATGACAAGGATCTGTTTGATTTTGGTAGTTCCGGGCATTTCAGTTATCGTGCTTTTTTGCATCATTATGCAAATGCGACCTTCGGCCTGGAAAGCACCAGCCTTGTCGGTGCGGTCATGCGTTCTTGCGCTAGACTTGCAACAGTCAGATCATTAAAGCATGATTGATTCCTGCGTCGCAGTTATGTGGACATATGTCGACTGCGTTTTGGCTTTTTTTGCATGCAGATTGGGATGGCAGCGTTGCATTGTGGGGCGGTGTGGGCTGCTCCAGCCTACTATGTGAATATCAGTTTTTATGCGGTTTTACTGTGCAGCGCTGCTACGGCTAGCAAAAACGCATGTTATCGAGAGGTCGTCTATATGTGTGTGTGTTCAAAAGCGAGTGCATTTTGTCACCCACTTTTATCTCAGCAACCAGGG